CTTCCCTGTTCGAGCGGGTCCCACTCGAACGCAAGGGGGGCCGCGTCTTGCGCGCTGTGCCCGGCGCATCAGCATGCGCCGGAGGATGGCGCGACGTCGTGCGTCGACTGCGCGAGCGGCGCCGCCGGAAGCGCGTCCCGCGCGCGCGCGCCTTGCTTCTTGTCCGGGTCGAGATACGAAGCCCCGACGTCCCCCGAGCCTCAACGCCGCGCACGTCGCCGTCGTCGCGTTCGGCGCGAACGTCTTCCCGACGCACCGCGGGTCGTCGTCGTGCGCGCTGTGCGTCGGGAAGACGTTCGCGCCGAACGCGACGACGGCGACGTGCGCCGCGTTGAGCTCCGGGAACGTCGGGGCTTCGTATCTCGACCCGGACAAAAAGCAAGGCGCGCGCGCGCAGGTCCCGTGCGCGCCCGGCACGTACGCGAAGACGACGGTGCCGTACCTCGCGATGGTGTCCACGTGCGAGGCGTGCCCGGACGGGACGGTGTCCGCGAATAACGCGTCGACGCGGTGCGCGAGTTGCCGCTACGGCTCGGAAGCCGCGGCGAACAAGACGACGTGCGTGGCGACCGAGGACATCAGCGAGGGCGACTACGCGGACTACGAGAGCGAGGACGATTTCGATTACGGCGGCGGCGGGGGCGGCGGCGGCGCGACGGGAGGGGACGTGTTCGCGTCCGTCGCGATGGTGACGCTCGCGGCGACGTTGTGTTGTTGCGCCTGTTTCGGCCCGGGGTGGTGGCGGCGGCGGATGCGTCGACTGAAAGAAGCGGAGCGGAAGAAGCTGGAGCGGAAGAAGGCGCGGAAGCGGCGAGGCGGCGACGGGGAGGACGACGAGGAGGAGGAAGACGCGGTGGCGGCGGCGGAGGATGAAGAGCGGAGGAAGAGGGAGAAGAAAAAGCGAAGGTGGTGGTCGAAGAGCGCGAAGGCGCCGGACGCGGCGGCGGCGCCGCTCGAGCCGGTGACGATCGTGATGGTCCCCGGGGAGCCGCCGCCTCGTCCGCCGCCGCCGGTGGGAGTGTATCAACGCGACCCGCCGCCGCCGTCGTCGTCGTCGTCGCCGTCGCTCGAGTACTGGGAACAAAACGCGGTGATCGCCGCCGCGGAGGCGGCGGCGGCGGCGGCGATGCGCGTCGCGTTTGAAAACCGCCGCAGGTCCCGGCCGCCGTCGCCGTCGTCGATTCGCTCCCCGCGGTCGAGGCGCGGGTCGAAGAAGTACATGAAGTTCACGGACGAGCCGGCCGACGAGCGCGGGTTCGATCCGATCGCGTCGACGGACGACGAGGCGTGGGAGCGCGGCGCGGTCGCGGCGGCGGCGGCGGCGGCGGCGGCGCGGCGACGCGAGGCGCCGCCGACTGCGCTTCCTCCTCCTCCTCCTCCTCCTCTTCCTCCTCCTCCACCTCCACCGCCGCGGCGACGGGAGCGGAGGAGAGAGGACGACGTCACCGTCGTGATTACGTTGGACGACGACGACGACGACGCGAAGAAGCGCAGTCCCGGAGGATATCTGCTGTGACGATAGCACGGACTTCCGGAAGTAGTCTACGAAGGTATGTTTTACAACTAAAAGTCGACTCAGCACACCTGTGCCACCCTATCGCGCCCATCACGACGACGACGACGACAGAGGAGGCAAGTACTCGTTCGTGAACACCGTCGGCACGCTCTCCAAATCGATCCTCTCCCCCGCCTTGCCGTCCCGCAAGTCGTCCAGCGAAAACGTCGCGCCGCCGTCGGGATGCCGGCTGTTCAAGCCCGTCGTCAGCAGCCCCCGGTCCCACAACCACCTCACGTACTCGTCCCACACGCGCGCCTCCATGCGTCCCCACGCCTTGGTCTCCGGGTCTAGGAACCTCGTCGCGAGGTAGTCCGCGCTCGCGTGCGCTTGGTGCACGCCGATTTTGACCTCGGGGTGGTGCTTCTTCGCGAGCCTGAGCAACGCGTCCGCCGCCGCGCCCGGGTCGTCGGCGGCTCTTCGATACCCCTCCGCGGTGGCCTCCAGGAACGCCCTCGCCGTCGCCGCGTTCGCGCGCAACCACTCCGGATGCGCGCACAGACACGGGTTGTACGCGTACGGCACGCCGTTATCGAGCAGGGTGAAGACGTTGAGGTCGATTCCCTCGAGCACCGCCTCGACGCCCTCCCACTGCTTGAAGATCCACGTCGCGTCAGCGTCGCCCTTCACGAGCGTCTCGAAGACGCCGAGCATCGGCGGCGTGACCTCGCGGAAGTCGCCCTTCCCGCCGGCGTGACGGATGATCTCTCGCACGATGCGCCCCTCGAACCGCGCGGCGTACGACGCGTACGTCGCGCCGTCGAGGTCGGCCGGCGACGCCTTGCCCGACGATCGCAGCGTGACGATCGCGCTCGTGTTTCGATCGTGCAGCAGCGCGGCGACCGCTTTGAGACGCGGGCGTCCGTCCGCGGTGTTCCACCCGAGCACGCCCTCCGGGGAGTTGATCGCGAAGTGCGCGTCCCCGGCCGCGACCTTGGAGCACGGCGTGACGTACGGCGTCGCCGTCGCCGTCGCGTCGCTCGCCGTCGCGTCGTCCGACGGCGTGTGGTAGGACCCTTTGTAATCCGCGTCGGAGGGCGAGACGAGCCGCACGTCCAGGCCCGCGTCCGCGTACACCCCCGCGTCGAGGGCGACGTAGAACCCGAGGTGGTTCCCGTTCGGGGTCCAATCCAGCGCGACGATCACCGGCGTCTTCGTCTTCGCGTCGTCGGACGACGCCATCGCGCTCGCGCGCGCGTCGCGGTGTCGCGCCGACGCGCCGACGACGCGTTCGAGGAGAGCAGAGCGGTGCGGAACTCTCCGCTGCCGTCGTCGCGACCGAGAAAAGCGACGGTTCGCGTTCTAGCTCGGGGACGAAATAGGAAACGACCCTAGCTCCAGTCCGCGCGCGCGTCGTCTCGTTCGCACTCCACCGCGACGCGCCGCCGCCGCTCGACGCACGATCGCGCGCGTCCGCCCGCCGTACGCGCTCGCGTCGTTCGCCTCGCCGCCGCCCGCGGCGCCTCCGCGCGCGCGCGCGCGTCGCGCCGCGGCGATGTTCTCCTCGAGATCGTCATCATCATTGTCGTCGCGGGGCGCCCGTTTCGGCGTCCTCGTCCGCCGCGGCGTCCGCCGTCCTCGTCGCGTCATCAACGGCGTCCCGCTCCTCGTCCTCTTCGCGGCCGCGTCGGCGGTCCTCCTCGTCCGCGGCGCGAACGCGCAGGCTGGCGACTGGACGCCCGCGATATGCGGCGGCGCCTCGCGCGCGTCCGATCACTGCGCGACGGCTATGGCGTCGTGGGAGAAGGACGTCCGCGCGCTCCAGGCGCTCCACGAGTCGTGCTCGCCCGCGGGCGCGGCGTGGCCGGGGCCGTGGGCACCGGTGCCGTCGTTCGACGGCACCCTGAACGACTGGAAGACGACGACGTGCGCGAGCTCCGGCGCGGAGCTCGCGTGCGACGCCGACGGGCGGGTCGTGAAGATCCGCGTCCAGAGCGCGATGTCGCTCGCGTGCCAAGCCGGTTTGCCCGCGCGCTTCTCCGACCTGACGGAACTCTCCGTGCTGCGCATGGACGGCGTCTTGAACGGCGGCGGCGGCGGGAACAACATCGCGTTCGTCTTCTCGCCGTTGCTGACGTTAGGGAAGCTCACCGAGATATCGTTCGAGGACGACGGCCTCGTGGGAGGAGTGCCGGAGCTGTGCGATTACGCCGCGTTCGCGACGTCTGCGTTTTCGCTCAAGACGTTGCGCCTCAACCGCAACGCGCTGACCGGCCGCCCCACGACGTCGCTCGCGTGCCTCACCAGCCTGGAAGAGCTCGAGTTGTCGTCGAACGCGCTCGTCGGCCCGCTCCCGGAGTCGTGGACCGGGATGCGGCAGCTGCGGACGCTCGCGATGTCGCACAACACGGGCTTAGGCGCGTTCTGTCATCTCACACTGGTTCCCATACAGTACGACCGCGTCGGCGTGGTGAACGCCGATCCTTAAGGACTTTCTCTCCCGGCGTTTCTCTCCGCCCACCCCCCGCTCGCTTTCGATCCCGACACACCGCGACGCCTTTCGACTCCAACAACTGACGCCTTTGAACCCCACCCCGACATCATCGCTTCGTGTGGACCCTCGGCCCTCAGACGGCGAGCTCCCGCCCGCGTGGTTCGCGCCGACGACGGGTCTGACGTCTCTGCGCGAGCTCCGGTTTCAACGCTGCGCGTTGACCGGTCCGATCCCGTCCACGATCGGCGCGCTGACCGCGCTTCGCGAGATCGATCTCTCGATGAACGCGCTGAGCGGCTCGGTCCCCGGGTCGATCTCGGCGTTGCAGAGCACGCTCGCGTCGATCGACCTGAGCGGGAACGAACTCTCCGGCGCGCTGCCGGCGAGTTTTTTCGAAGGCATGACGCGGCTCGTGACCGTGAACCTTTCGGATAATAACCTGAACGGGTCGATTCCGGCGCTGACGATGTCCTGGCCGATGCTCCAGACCTTGGACCTCTCCGATAACTACTTCGAAGGCGTCGTTCCGCCGCTGAGCGATCTCGCGGACTTGACGTCCATCAACCTATCGAACAACTTGCTGACCGGCGCGATTCCGACGATGTCGTCGCTCGTGTTTCTCGAGGTTATCGATTTACACGGTAACGCATTTTCTGGTGCGTTACCGGACCTCAACAACCTCCACTCCCTCACCGACGTCGACGTGTCGCAAAACGCGTTGACCTCCGGTCTGGGGACGGTCGGTTTAGGCGCCGTCGCCGGGCTCGTCGTCGTGAATCTCGCGCACAACGCCATCGAAGAGGACGTCCCGGATCCGCCGTGCGGGCCCGCGCTGGAGACTTTGGACCTCCGCGGGAACCCCGTTCGCGGGTCGCTGGCCGCGTCCATCGGCTCCTGCGCGCAGTTACGGTACGTGTACGTCGGCGGGGGGACCTACCCGGACGCCGGGGCGCCGCCAGCGTTCACGCTCCCGGACGCGAGCGCGTTCGATTCGCTCACGAATTTGAGGGAACTCTCGCTCGTCGGTCTCGGGCTCAGCGGGTCGACACCGTCGTCGTTGTTCACGCTCCCGGCGCTGCGTTCGCTCGACTTGTCTCGCAACGCGCTGAGCGGGAGCGTCCCCGCGGTCGCCCCCGGGTCGCTGGCGTCGCTTCGAACGCTGACGCTGAACGAGAACGCGCTCGCCGGCGAGGTCCCCGCGTCGTTGCTCGCGGCGCCGTCGCTCGAGACGATTCGTTTGAGCGACAACGTCATCGACGGCATGGAGGCGCTCGCGCCCGGGTCGTCGATCGACGTCAGCGGCGTGACCGGTCTGTACCTCGCGGGGAATAAGTTGACGTCGTTCCCGAGCGTGCTTCAGAACGCGACGTCGCTGACCGCGCTGGATCTGTCGAGAAACGCCCTCGCCGGGCCGATCCCCGGGTGGATCCGCGACCGCGACCGGCTTCAAGTCTTACGCCTCGGCGGCAACGCGCTGTCCGGCCCGTTAGACGACTGGCTCTCGGATAACCGCCTCATCGACCTCACGACGCTGACGTTAGACGGCAACGTCGGGATAACGGGGCCGCTCAGCGCGGCGTCGATTCGACCGCTCGCGAACTTGAGGGTGTTGAACGTTTCCGCCGTCGGCGGCTTCGGCGACTTCCCCGCCGCGCTCGGCGCCGTCGGCGCGAGCCTCGGCGCGCTGCGCGAGCTCACCGCGTCGCGCGCCGGGCTCACCGGGTCGCTACCCTCGACGTTATTCGCCGCGCTGCCGGTGCTCGAGCGCTTGGACCTCTCAAACAACGCGCTGCGCGGCTCGATCCCGCGCGACGACGACGACGACGACGACGACGGCGACGCGACGGCGACGATCACGCACGCGCTTTTGAGTCGCCTCAACCTCGCGTCCAACGCGTTCGACGGCGTGATCCCGTCGTTCCCCGCGCCGCTCCTCGCGCGCGCGCTCGACTACCACGTCCGCGCGGGCGGCACCGACGCGGACGTCGACGACGCGGACGGCCTCCTGCGCGTCGTCGACCTCCGCGCCGCCTCCGCCGGGAACGATCGCGGCGGCGCGTTCGCGTGCCCCCTCCCGAGCCTCCACGTGGCGTACGCCCACGCCACGTGTCAATGCGCCGCGGGACGCTTCGGACCCGACGGCGGTCGGCACGTCTGCGATCCGTGCGTCCCCGGGAGCTTCGCGACGGTCGTGGGCGCGGAGAGCTGCGACCTGTGCGACCCGGGCGCGTCCACGAACGGCGTCGCGGGGACGTCGACGTCGTGTGACGCGTGCACGCCCGGGAGTGCCGCGGCGATCGCGGGCTCAGGTGCGTTCGTATTCACACTGGTCCCCATACGACCGCGTCGGCGTGGTGAACGCCGTTCCTTAAGGACTTTACTTCCCGGCGCATCTCTCCTCCCAGGGTCCCTCGCTTTCGATCACCGCCCTCGACGCCGTTCAACTCCGCTTCTGACGCCATTCAACTCCACCCCGACGTTCGCTCGTATGGACAATTACCCTCAGCCACCTGCGAGCTCTGCGCCGCGGGATCCGTCGCCTCTGCGACCTCTGCGACCACCTGCGACCTCTGCGACGGCGGGCACGCGCAGCCGCTGGTCGGGCAGACGACGTGCGAGCCGTGCGCGCCGGGGAGCGCCGCGGGCGTCGGGTCCGCGACGTGCGAGCCGTGCGACGCGGGGTTTTTTTCGGAACACGCGACGGCGACGACGTGCGACGCGTGCGCCGCCGGCACGTACCAAGACGCCGTTGGTCAGGCGCGTTTGTGTTCTCTCTCGCGCTGGTCCCCGCGGCGCGACTGACCGCGTTCTTCGCGCGGTGCACGCCGTGCCTCGATTGGACTTTCCTTTCTTTCCTCGCGCGCGTTCAGTTTCTCTCGGCCCGTTCGCCCCTCGAGCGCGTTCAATCCCGCCGCGCGCGCCGCGACGCCTCTGTGTGTCGACTCCAACTGACGCCCCCCCGAACAACTCCATCCGCCCCGACGTCGCCTCGCGTGGAACGAACCACTGAACGCCCCTCATCAGACCGGGTGCGTGGACTGCCCGCCCGGGACGTTCGGCGCCGCCGCCGGCGCGAGCGACGCGGCGCAGTGCGCGCCGTGCCCCGCGGGGACGAGCACGCGCGGGGACCGCGCGCAGACGTCGTGCGCACCGTGCCAACCGGGGACGTTTTCGCTGGAGGGCGCCGCGCGCTGCGAATCCGCGCCGGTCGGCGCGCACGCGCCGCTCGCCGGCGCGTCGTCGCCGACGCCGTGCGCGCCGGGCACGCACGCGCCGACGCCGGGGTTGACGACGTGCGTGACGTGCCCGGACGGGACGTTTCAGAGCGACGCGGGGTCGAGCGCGTGCGAGCCGTGCCCGAGCGACGCGTCGTCGGGTGCGTTCTGTAGAGAAGAGACAAACCTCTTTCACCACCCGTTCCTCGGTTTCAACATTTGATCGCGTACTGTATGTACCCTTTCGACTGACCGATGAACTCGTAAAATGTTTCGTACGCGCAGTCGCGGACCGCACGCGGTGCGCGTGCGATCCCGGATCGTCCGCGTCCGCCGTCTCCGGCGGCGGCGTGCTCTGCACGAAGTGCGCGCGCGGACGCTACGCCGCGCACGTAAACTCCTACGAGTGCACGCTCTGCGCGGGCGACGCGTTCGCCGCGACGGAGGGCATGGAGACGTGCGCGCCGCTCGCTCCCGGGCACGTCGGCGACGCGTTCGAGGACCCCGGGTCGATGCGCGGCGCCGCCGCGCAGCGCCCGTGCCCCGCCGGCGCGCGCGTCCGCTCCACGTTTCTCGGGTTGAACGTGGTCAAGCTGTGCGAGCGGTGCGACGAGGGCACGGTGTCGTCGTCCCCCGCGGCGACGAACTGCACGTCGTGCGCGAGCGGTCTCGTCGCGAGCGAGGACCGGACGCGGTGCATCGAGCGCGTGGAGATCATCGGCGGCGGCGGCGGCGACGGCGGCGACGGCGGCGGCGCCGTCGACGACGCGATCGACCGCGCGGGGGACGAAAAGTACGCGACGTTCACGTCCATCGCATTCTTCACGCTTCTCGCGCTCGTCGCGCTGTCGTGTGCGGGGTGCGTCGCGCTGTACCGGCGGCGAAAGCGGCGGCTCCGCGATTTGGAGCTCGAGCGCGAGATGCTGTTGGACGAGGCGGAGGAGGAGATCGCGACGGGACAGCCGGTGCGACGCGCGACGTTGTACGCGCTCGCTGGCGTGGAGAAGGACGCGGAGGCGCTGCGGATCTTGGGGTTCGGCGGCGGCGGCAGCGAGGGCGGGAGCACGCCACCTCGGCGGAAGAGCGGCGGCGTGATGAGTAACGGATCGTCGCGTGGCGTTTCGTTCGCCGACGTCGGCGTCGCGAAGAAAAAGCGGACGTCCAGCGGCGCGTCGGCGTGGTCTTCACGCGGGGGGGGGTCGAACCGGTCGTCCCTCCGCTCGCCGTTCGCGTCCGCCGCGTCCGTGGGGAGCGCGGGAGGAGGACGGAAGAAGAGCGCGGCGGCGGCGGCGTCGGCGCGCATGAACAGCGCGCGTCGCGCGTCGAAGTACTCGTACGCCCGCGTGGACGACCCCGCCGCCGCCGCCGCCGCCGCCGCCGCCGCCGCCGCCGCGGAACGCCGGCCGTCGCGACGCCGCGGGAGCAGTTTCTTCGATCTGCTTCGCGGGCACCCGCTCGGGGACGCGTCCGGCTCGGACCCGGACACGGAGATGGAGGAGACGGAGTGGGAGGCGCACGCGGTGAATCAGGCCGCGGAGGCTGCCGCGGCCGCGGCGATGAAGGTGGCGTACCAGGTGCGGAGAGAGTCGATGTTTATTCAAAAACGGCGGGACGAGAAGAGGCGGCGATCGAAGCCGCCGCCGCCGCCGCCGCCGCCGCCGCCGGCGGCAAAGAAAGAGGAGAAGAGAAAGAGCCGCGCGCCGTCGTCGCTGCCGCCGCTGCCGATGATGCCACCGAGCGCGCCGCCGCAGCCGACGGGCGTGGACGACGTCACGGTGACCGTGACGATGGACGGCTCTGGGGAGGAGGAGAGCGTCGACGACGACGCGGAGACGTTTTCAGACGCGAGCGGGAGCGGGAGCGGGTCGGGCGGCGAGCGCGGATTTCCGTGGATGTCGTCGACGTGAGCGTGCGTGCGTTTCATAATGCGCGGTGGTAGAGATGCGTCTTGCGTCAGTTCGTCGTCTCCGCCGCGAGCTCGGCCTCGAGTTCGGCCACAATCGATTTCGCGACGGTATCGCTACCGCCTCGCTCCGCCGTGACGCGGTACCACTTGAGTGCCTCTTTTTTGTCCACTGCCACCATGCCGTCGCTCCTGCCGTATCTGTAGATAACACCCAGATTCCACGCGGCTTCTGCTGAACCCAGCTCCACCGCCTTTAAGTACAGTTCGAGTGCCTTTCCTCCATCTCTCTCCACGGCGGTGCCGTATTTATAGCACCACGCGAGCTTGTGGGTCGCGTCGGCGTGCCCACGCCTGGACGCTTTTTCCCACCACTCGACCGCCTTCGTGTGGTCTTGCTTCACGCCTTCCCCTACCCGGTAGCAGGATCCGATCGCGCACATGGCGTCGGCGTCACCAGTCGCCGCCGCCTTACTCCACCAGTAGATCGCCTTCATGGACTGGTGATGACCATCTAGGGGATATTGTCGAAACCACACTTCACCGAGGCTGAACAACTCACCGGGAGCCACGGGCAACGACGCGTCCGCTTTCTCCGCGCTTCTCCACACCTTGCTCACCGCGGCGAGCCTGACGCGGTCTATCGGGTCGTTCCCGAGGTGCGAAAACACGACGGCGGCGACGTTCTCGGGGACGTCGTCGAAAGACATGGCCGGATCTGAGCGTGGGGGGGAGGGCGGCGCGCGGGAAAGTCTTTTGAACGTCGTGGCTTTTTTCTCCCTCGGTGCTGTGAGCGCCCGCCGCGCCGCCAGCTGTCGCGCGCTCACAGTCGTTGTATTTGAAAGTTCCGAGCGGTGACGCGCGCGCACACCCGAGCGCGCGCGGCGACTGACGACGGCATCGCGCGAGACGAACGCGGGATTTCGCTCACACGACGCGTCGTCGTCACCGAACGCGCTCGCGAGGCGGCCGGCGCGCGCAGATATCGAGCGCGGCGCGCCCAGATCCGTCGCTCGAGGAGGAGAGAGCGACGAAAACAGGCACCCCCCCTCGTTTGGTGGATCTCGCCCCGCTCGTCGCCGCCACCATGGGGTCCGACTCCGAGGACGCCGCGGTCTCGGACTCGGACTTCGAGAACGACGAGGCGTACGATGAGGAGGAAGATGCGGAGGAGGAGGAGGAGGAGGAGGAGGAGGAGGAGGAGGTCACCGTCCTGTCCCAGGCGCAGGTGAAAGCGAGGAACGTCCAGGCGATGCTCAGCGGATCGCTCCAGGTGGCGAGGAGACCGATGGTGAGCGGGCTGAAGTGCCAAGACGCCGCCGCGGTCCTCGCGCGCCCGTTCCGCGCCCCCTTCGCGGGCGCGACCGCGGGCCACTCCGCGGAGCTCGCGAAGCGCCTCGCGATGAAGCGACGCTTCGTGCCGTGGGGCGGCACGAAGAACATCGCGCACGCGGGTCGACCGATGCAGATCGGCTCCTTCTCCTCTCCGATGCACGCGAAGAAGGAGGAGAAGGAGGAGGAGCTCCCCGAGGGCGTCGAGCCGCTCGTGCTGTGGGAAGACGCGGATGGCGGGACGAACAGACCGATCGTCGTGGACAACATGCTCGTGAAGTGGCTGCGGCCGCATCAGAGGGAGGGCGTCAAATTCATGTTCGAGTGCGTCATGGGCCTGCGCGATTTCGACGGCCGCGGGTGCATCCTCGCGGACGACATGGGCCTCGGGAAGACGCTCCAGGGGATCACGCTGCTGTGGACGATGCTGTGCCAGGGCGTCGTGACCGGGACGCCCACGGCGAAGCGAGCGCTGATCGTGTGCCCGACGAGCCTGGTGAGCAACTGGGACGACGAGTGCAATAAGTGGCTCAAGGGACGCGTGAAGACGCTGCCGATTTGCGAGTCGTCGCGCGCGGACGTCATCTCCTCCGTGAACCGGTTTTTGAGCCCCAGAAACACCGCACAGGTGATGATCGTGTCGTACGAGACGTTCCGCATCCACGCCGAGCGGTTCGGCGCGGAAGACAGCGTGCAGCTCGTGATGTGCGACGAGGCGCACCGGCTGAAGAACGGGGACACGCTGACGAATAAGGCGCTGCAGTCGGTGCCGTGTCGGCGGCGAGTGATGCTGTCGGGGACGCCGATGCAGAATCACCTGGACGAGTTCTACAGCATGGTGAACTTTTGTAACCCGGGGTTGTTGGGGACGACCGCGGAGTTCCACAAGCACTACGAGAAGCCGATTCTGGACGGAAGAGAGCCGGACGCGACGGAGAAACAGCTCGCGCTCGCGCAGGAGCGCAACGCCGAGCTCAGCGAGCTCGTGAACAAATTCGTGCTCCGACGCACGAACACCATCCTGTCGAAACACTTACCCCCGAAAGTCGTCGAGGTCGTGTGCTGCAAGCTGTCGCCGCTGCAGCAGCAGCTGTATCAGCACTTTTTGGACTCCAAGGCGGCGAAGGCGGCGTTGACCGGGAAGAGCACGATGGTGCTCGCCGCGATCACGGCGTTGAAAAAACTGTGCAACCACCCGAAGCTGATTTACGACATGATCAACGCGGAGAAAAACACCGGCAGCGCCGCGGCCGGGTTCGAGTCGTGCGGCGCGTACTTCCAGCCCGGGATGTACGACGTCAGAGGCCCGCACGGGCGAGGCAAGAGCGGCATGTGCGACGGGTGGGAATTTCACTCGGGGAAATTCGCCGTCTTGGCGCGTCTGCTCGCCATCTTACGCGCGGAGACCAAGGACCGCATCGTGATCATCAGTAACTACACGCAAACGCTCGACCTCGTGCAGTTTCTGTGTAAGCAGAACAACTACCCGCACTGCCGCCTCGACGGCGGGACGTCGATCACGAAGCGACAGAAGCTCGTCAGGCAGTTCAACGACCCGACGGAGAACTGTTTCGTGTTTTTACTCTCGAGCAAAGCCGGCGGGTGCGGCATCAACTTGATCGGCGGGAACCGACTCGTCCTGTTCGACCCGGACTGGAACCCCGCGAACGACAAACAGGCTGCCGCGCGGTGCTGGCGCGACGGCCAGAAGAAGAAGTGCTACCTGTACCGCCTCTTCGCGACCGGGTCGATCGAGGAGAAGGTTTTCCAGCGGCAGCTCTCGAAAGAGTCGCTTCAGAACGTCGTAAACGGCGAGGGCACGCTCGAGCAGTCGTCCCTGTCCAAAGACGACCTCCGCAAGCTCTTCACCCTGGACGCGACGACGGTGTCGGACACGCACGACAGCGTGGCGTGCGAGAAGTGCCCGGGGAAGCACTACGACGGCTTACACGGCCAAGCCGGCGTCACCGGAAGCGGCGGCCCCGCGGATGATTTTCAGCCGTGGGAGGAACAGGACGACGACGCGGAGGAGCAGAAGCTCGAGACGTGGGGGCACCACCACCGCGCGTGCACGCTTCCGGACCCCATCATGCGCCGCGCCGCGGGGGACGACGTGTCGTTCGTGTTTAGTTTACAGGTGGAAGGGTGCGCGATCGTCGAGGAGGCGAGCAAGAAGAAGTCGACGCCGGCGCCGGGCGCGGCGGCGGCGGTCGCGGCGGCGGCGGCGGCGCCGCCCGCGGGGGGGTACAGGCTCGGCGCGGGTCGACCGAACGGCGGCGGGATGCTGAGCGGGATGACGCGCCCGGCGGCGGGGATCGGTGCGGTGAACCGGGCGCCGGGACTGACGACGCGCGCGCCGCTGTCGACGGTGCAGAGCAACGTCCGAGCGCCGACGGGACGCGTCGGCGTCGGCGCGGGGAAGCCGTCCGCGGCGGCGGCGGCGGGGGTTGGCGCCGGGAAGAAGTCCGCCGCGGCAAAGCCGAAGCCGAAGCCGCAGCCGAAGCCGAAGGCGAAGCGGAAGAGCGACGAGTCCGAGTCCGAGGAGGACTTCGAGTCCGAGACCGAGGAGGACGAGGCGTCGGAGTCGGAGGAGGAGTCCGCGGGCGAGTCCGAGTCCGACCGCTCCGACGAGGACGAGGACGATGTCGACGCGAAGCCGAAGCCGAAGATGTCGGTCAAGGTCGTGAACACCGCGGCCGCGGCCAAGGCGAAGGCGCCGCCGGCGGCGCGCCCGAAGCGAGCCGCCGCGGGCGCGGGCGCGGCGAAGCGCCGCGAGAACGCCGAGTCGGCGGACGAGCCGAGCGCGTCGGAAGACGCCGCGTCCGCGAGCGAGTCCGACGGCGGCGGCAGCGAGGACGAGGAAGACGACGACGACGATCCCGTCGCGGACAGCGAAGAGGAGATGGACGCGATGGACGCGATAGACGCGGCGGCGGCGGCGGCGCTACGAAAACGCGCGCGCGACCGGGACAGGGACGCGAACCGCGCCTCCGCGCCCGGAGGGGACGCGCGCGCGGGCGTGGAGGTGGACGCGAAGCGAGGACGCACGAGCGAGGGCGGCGGGAGCGCGTCGCCGATCGAGGAGTCGGAGTCGGAGTCGGAGCTCGCCATGCTCGGCGGGGACTCGGACTCGGAATCCTCGGAGCTCTGAGAGGGCGGCGGCGGCGCCGGCGAAACGCGAGCATCACGCGCATGCGAGTACGATTACAATACGAAGGGAGACCGACGCTCTCCCGGTTATAATAGGTTTTAACGCTACGCCACGATTCATCGTCGTCGTCGTCGTCGTTCGCTTCGGTGTCACGCGCGCGGCCGTTCGGTTTCAATTCAACACGTCGTTATTAGCTCGTCGCGTCGTCGTCGCTTTCCTCCGCGGGGGTCTACTCGTACGTCCGTCATACGTCACACACGCATGTCCGCGGCGTCGCCGATGAACGGCAGCTTGTACATCTGCCCCAACATGCACCCGACCGCGGCGAGGCAGAACGCGGCGAGGACGAACACCCACACGGAGTTGTAGCACAGCTTGTACATCTCGAACGCCATCCCTCGCAGCGACCCGGGGGAGAGGACGTATTCGACCATCCCGGGGAGAACCAGCACGATGTCGAGGATGATGGCCTGCATCGCGTTGAACCGCACGAACCGCGACATGTTCCGGTTCTCCGCGATCCCCAGGTATATCGCGAAGAAAGATATCATCCCCGCGAACGGAATTCGAAAGTACATCGACGCGATCGGCTGCAGCGGCTGCAGGAGGAAGATGGCCTGGGGGAACTGCGAGAAGAAGAATCGCGAGTACCGAAGTCCGTCGAGCAGCGGGACGAGGTACGGCAGCAGCGCGACGAAGCGGTCCGGGACGGGGATCATGCTCCCGCCGCCGCCGCCGTACGACGGGGAGTATCCCGCGGTCGTCGTCGTCGTGCGCGCGCCGGCGCCGCGGCCCCGCGCGGGCGACGCGACGACGCGGCGCGGCGCGAGATGATGATGATGATGATGATGATCGGGTGCCGAAGAAGCGCGCGCGACGATCTTATTCGCGGACGCCGCCGCGGACGCGACGCGTCTTCTCGGGCGGACGACGACCGCGGACGTCGCGCGCGCGGGCGCGGCGCGCGTCGCCCGCGCGGTCGCGACGGCGCCGACGCTGCTGCTGATCGCCATCATGGTCGCGTGCGCGCGCTGCGGAGCGCGGGGCGAGATGAAGCGGAACTAGGGATTCGGTTCACCGAATGAAGACAGGAACCAGACTTGAGGATGCCCCGTCATCATCACTCGTCGGGGCACCACCGACACGCCGGCGATGACCTCGACATCGTGCGCCGCGCCCAACGCCGCGCTCCGCGCCGCCGTCGCCGCGCGTCGCGTCGCCTCCCCCGCGCCGCGCGCTTCCGCCGCGCCGTCGCGCCTCCCCCGCGGCCGCCGCGCCGCCGCCGCCGCGCTTCGACACGTCATCGACGTCGCCTCCTCCTCCTCGGACGACGCGTCCGCGGACGACAACGCGGCGACGTCCTCGACGTCCTCCTCCTCGCTCCCGCCCACGGCGACGATCGCCGCGCAGGGCGTCGAGGGCTACGTCTCCGTCCTCGAGCGCGCGTACGCGGACGAGGCGTTAGGGAACGAGGTCCGAGACCGCATGCAGACGGATCGACTCTTTTCCATCGGGATAAAGCAGTGCATGAACGACGCGACGCACGCGGACCGCCTCCGCGCCGCGATCGACGCGTCGCCGTACATGAAAGCCGCCGCGGAGGAGGAACAGCGAAGACGCGCGGAGGTGGACGCGGTGCAGTCGATCGCGAACGACGAGGGCGTCCAAGCGCGGCTCGCCGACATGGCGCAGAATAATCCCGAGTTGCTTCGACAGACGCAGGCGCGTTCTATCTCACACTGGTCCCCATACGACCGCGTTCGCGTGGTGAACGCCGATCCTTAAGGACTTTTCCCGGCGCATCTCTCCGCCCAGGGTCCCTCGCTTTCAATCCCCGCCCTAGATGCCTTTGAACTCCGCTTCTGACGCCTTTCAACTCCACCCCGACATCATCGCTTTGTATGGACCCTCGACCCGCAGGAAAACGCCGAGGCGACGCTCAAGAAGGTGGCGGGCGAGCTCGTGGACGGCGTGAAGGCGTACAGGGAAGAGTTTGAACCGAACGCGGACGATCTCATCGCGAAGTTCACGGAGATATCCAACGAGGGGTACGCCGCGTTCGTGAAGCACTCGATGAGCGACGTGAACGTGAAGAACGCCGTCATAAACGCGCTCTACGACGAGATGGAAGACGCGCAGAAAAACGCGGCGACGGCGAAAGCGGGGGGCGGGGGCGGGGAGGAGTGAACGTAGGACGTACTGTACTGTAGTAGCGAACGCATCATCGTTTGTGTGGTGCGTTGTATTCATTTTAGGACACCTTAAGGTTACCTCGTGAACGAAACGAAGAGAGAGACGGCGCGGCCTCGCGGGGTATCGCTTCGCGCCGGATGATGACTGACGAGAGAAAGAATGTTCGCGCGAGGAGATGTTGCAAAGCTACTAGTACGATGCTATGCTACGGGATCCATCTCGTCGCGCTGCGTGCTGCGTGCGTGCGCGTCGTCGATGACATCAACAACGATTTACGATTTAGAAGATCGTCGCCGTCGCGAGGAAGACCGCCATGCCGACCATCGCCGCGCGCCCGTTGATCATCTCCGCCTTGGCGTTGAAGATCTCGCCCGCGCCCGCGCCCTCGTACGCCTTCATCACGCCATCCTTGAGCCCGTCCGGCATGTAACCCTGCGGGTTCGCCGTCGGCACGAGGCTCGCGCCGGTGATGGCGGCGACGACGAGGAACACCAGGAGCGGGTACTTGGCGATCATCTCGAGGACGTCGCCGTTGAAGGTGTTCTGCACCGCGAGCACGAAGCCCACCTGCGCGAGGCGGCCGTTGATGAGCTCCGCCATCGGCGTGAAGCCCGCCTCGCGGTACAGCGTCTCGCCGTACTTCTCCACGAAGAGCGCCTCGGACCCAGGGCCGGTCATCTTGTCCGAGCCGAGGAACTTGAACGCCTCGGTGAGGGGCTCGATGCCGAGGCCTTCGATGAACTTCGGGACCGACGCGCCGCCGTCCGCCTTGTCCATGATGTCCTCGAGGTCGCCGAGTCCGATCTGACCCATGACGTCGTCGTCGTCGGACGCGCGGACGGCGAACGCCGCGCGCTTCGCCGCGCGCTTCGCGACGCGGGAGGTCACGCCGGAGGCGACGGACGCCTTCGCGGAGAGGAGCGTGGAGTTGAGGAGGAGAGCGGCCATGGTGTGCGTCGTTGTCGCGGTGTGCGCGCGCGAGGAGTGGGCGACAGTATTAGAGCGCGTCGCGGCGGTAAAACGACGGTTCGAGTGGCTCACATCGTTGGAGACGAGAGGCGGGGCGCGCTCCACGGCGCGGATCGAGGAAAAAGCGCCGCCACGTACGACGCGCAGTCAGCGGAAAAGTACACGTACTTTTCCGTACGGATAAAATGCACCAGGTTATGGGACCAGCCAGCGGTTCGTAATGGGCTGGAAACACCCCCCCGCGTCGTCGCGCGCGCGCGCTCGCCCCAGACGCCGGCGCGCACCGCACGATCGTCCCCCCCGCGCGCGCGTCATGAGCGCGCCGCCGTCCTACGGCGGCGCGTCCACGCTGTGGGCGCCGTTCGACGCCGCCGCGCGCGCGGGCCGACCCCTCGGCGCGAGCGGCGTGGTCATCTTGTGCCTCGTCGGCGCGGTCCTCCTGGCGCACGCGCAGGTGCGTTCTATACACTAGTCCCCATACGACCCCGTTCGCGAGGTGGACGCCGATCCTTAAGGACTTTTCCCGGCGCATCTCTCCGCCCACCCCACGCTTTCAATCCCCGTCCTCGACGCCTTTCAACTTCAACTGACGCCTATGAACTCCACCCCGCGCAGTTCAAGCCGCTGTGGGCGGCTCGCGGGGGGATGAGCCTCGCGATGATGGGAAAGGCGCCGTCGGACACGTCCGCGGTGACGACGTATAACCTCCCGAGCACGATCACGGAGCTGCTCGACGCGGAGGAGTACCTGTTGGGTGCGTCGCGCCCCCCCATCCCGCCGCGATGAGGGCGCGTCGCGCGCGCGTCGCAGTGCGTCGAACACGATTCATCAGATTCGTTCGCGCGATCAGACGGAGATCGGGTCGCCCGCGGCGCGGCGCGGCGCGGCGCGGCGCGCGCCCTCCCTCCCTCCCTTCTTCCGCCTCCCTTCCCTGACGTCCAACGCCCTCGTCGTTCTCCCTCCCCCTCTCCCTCCTCCCCCGTCGCAGCCGGCGTCGTGTTCGCGCTATCCGGTCTGTGGCCGCACCTGAAGCTCCTCCTCACGCTGTACGTGTGGGTCTCCCCGACGGAGGAGCGGTTCCGAAACTCAGGTGCGTTCTATACACTGGTCCCCATACGACCGCGTTCGCGTGGTGAACGCCGTTTCTTAAGGACTTTTCCCGTCGTGTCTCTCCGCCCACCCCTCGCTTTCAATCCCCGACCTCGACGCCTTTGAACGCCAACTGACGCCTTTCAACTCCACCCCGCCATCGCTTTGTATGGAACGACCCTCAGTGCTGCACTTCTCCAGCCTGTGGTCGATTTGGAGCTTCATCGACGTCGCGATGGTGATCATGATCTCGCTCGCGTTCAACGCCGCGATCAACGTCAGCGTCGCGAACGTCGTGGACGCGTCCTTCGCCGTGCGCGTGTGGCCGTGCTGGGGCGCGTACGAGTTTTGCTTCGCCGTGATCGTCACCTCGTTCGTCGGGCACTTCGCGCATGACGAGTGCGCCAAGCTGACCAAGGCGCGAAACCCGGAGCCCGGCGCGAGAGAGTGCGAGCACCGACAGACGCGATGGTCCGCGCAGAACGCGCACGGCGCCGGGACGAAGACGCTCGTGATCGCGCTCCTCGCGGCGACGACGATGTCCACGTGCGTCGGCTGCGTCGCGCCGTTTTACGCCGCGTCCTATCGAGTCCCGGTGTTCGGAGAAGGCGGCGCGGGGGAGAAGGACGTCGTCGCCGGGTGGAGAGTGCTCGTGAAGGACGCGCTGCGGAAGTCGAGCGGCGGCGGCGGCGGCGCGGAGAGTGGCGCGGCGAACGCGTTGGCGGTCGAGGTGGATCCCAGGGCGGGGTTGGTCGCGGCCGCCGCCGCGGACGACGGGCCCGGGCCGGGGGATGGGGACGCGGCGAAGAACGCGAACGCGACGGAGGACGCGCCGCCGCCGAGCCCGGAGAAGCCGAGCGCGGCGGCTACAGCGGCGGCGACGGACGCGAACGCGACGGAGGCGACGAACGCGACGAACGCGAACGCGACGGAGGCGACGAACGCGACGGACGTGAACGACCCGTCGAACTGGGCCGCCGCGGCGAAGGCCCGCGCGGCGGCTAAAGCGGCGGCGGCGGCGAAAGTCGAGGCGGCGGCTAAAGCGTTGGCGGACGCGAACGCGGCGGCGAACGCGTTGGCGGACGCGAACGCGACGGACGCGCCGCCGGCGAGCCCCGCCGCGAATGACACCGCGGCGGCGGCGCCGGGCGCGGCGCCGGCGAACGAGACGGCCGCTCCCACGGCTGAGGCGTCGGCGTCGGCGTCGGCGTCGGCGGCGCCGAAGGAAGACGCGAAAGACGACGGCGAGAACACGGAGAAGAAGGAAGACGACGACGGCGGCAAAGAAGAAGGAGGAGATCCAGCCTCTGCGCCGGCGGACGCGAACGCGGCCGAGGACGTGAACGACCCCGCAAACTGGGCCGCCGCCGCCGCGGAGAACGAGGCGGCGAAAGCGAAGGAGGCGGCGGCGCACGCGGACGACTCCGCCGCCGATTACGCCGCCTCCATGATCATGGAGCGCCGCCGCCGTCGCCGCCGCCGACGGAGCTTGCTCGTCGCGGACGAGCCCGGGGACGCCCCCGCGGAGGAAGTCGACGTCGGCGCGGACGCGTCCAAGGAAGAGAAGAAGAAGAAGAAGAAGAAGGACGACCACGACTTCTTCGGCGGCTTGGTCAAAGGCATCGTCTCGAGCGTCGACCCCGCCGCGGCGGTCGCCGGCCCGGGCGGCCCTTCCGACGGCGTCATCGACGCCGTCCTCCACGCGATGCAAGCGTCGAACACGCTCCCGCCCGCGCCCACGATCAAATCCAAGTCGTGGTCGCTGCTGGACGTCGTCTCCGAGACCGCGGCGCTGACGCCGCCCGTCGGCGTCGAGAACGAGGACGGCGGGTTCGACTGGCGCGGGCAAGCGTTTCTCGCGGTGGCGTTTACGTTTTTCGTGCTCCTCGCGCCGCTCTACCGCGCGTACGGACACTGGCACGCGTACACGAACGAGTGGTACGGCGTGGCGGAGCACGACGAGTACGTCTCGTGGATGTCCACGGTTGGGAGGTTCAACGCCGTCGGCGTCGCGCTCGTCGCCGTGGAGATTCTCGCCGCGCGGATGGTGGCCTTTTCCACCGCCTTCGCCAAGAAAAACGGCGGCTGCGTCGCGGACGAGTGCTTTCAGGTGGACCTCGGCGCGAGCTCCGGGGCGATGGCGGCGTTGATCGGCGTCGTGTTGGCGTCCGCGCTCGCGGTGTACATGGACCGGCTGCTCACCGCGGCGAGGAAGAACGTCCTGCGGGACACCACGGGGAGCGTGCGCGAGGACTACGGAAGGCGCTCGGAGGGGCAGTACGGAAGCTTGATTCTGTGACGTCTACGGCACCTTTTTGTAGGGCTACAGTACAGTATTATATAAGATAGCCCTATTCATTCGCTCGCTCCTTTCCTCACGGGTCCGGCTCGTCCAAGTCCGGCGCTGCTTCGTCGTCTTCGTTCGAAGAATCCGAATCCGAATCCGCGTTCGCCGCGCCTCCCCCAGCCCCAGCCCCCGCCTCCTCCTCGCCCTCGCGCGCGCCGTCGCCGTCGCCGTCCAGCAGCGGCTCCCTGCTCAGCGCCGCCGTCGCCTCGCGTTCCAACTCGCTCAACTCCAGCGCCCTCAACTTTCGCAGATACTCCACGTCGTCGACGTCCTTCACCATCGTGCTCCTCACCATCTTGATCTCCTTCTTCTTATCCGCGATCTTCCTCCGCAGCGTCTGCATGAACAGGTCAAGCTGATGCATGAACTCCTTCAGGTCTGTTTCCTCCTCCGTCTCCCTCTCCGGGTCGTCCTCCTCCAACCGCGTCGTCGCGTCCGTCATCTCTCGGACGTAGTGCGCGACTTGCATCTCGAGAGCCTGATGAGGGTCGATCCATACGAGCGAACGTCGGGGTGGAGTTGAAAGGCGTCAGAAGCGGAGTTTAAAGGCGTCGAGGTGTGTCGGGATTGAAAGCGAGGGGTGGGCGGAGAGACACGCCGGCAAAAGTCCTTAAGGAACGGCGTTCAGCACGCCGACGCGGTCGTATGGGGACCAGTGTGAGATAGAACGCGCCTCAACGTCCTCCTCGAGGACGCGGACGCGCGTCTCCGCGGCGGAGCCCGGCGCGAACGGCGACGGACCCTTCTCCGGCCGCGTCGCGGTCGCGGGCGCGGCGTCGTCGTCGTCCGGGTTGAGCGGCTTCCCGTCGCGGCCGAGCACGCCCTCGCCGTCGCACCGCTCGCACATCCGCTCGAGGATCCGGTTGTTGTACTCCTCCTTGACCGTCTTCATGCCTCGGCACGTCTCGCAGATCTTCACGCGAGCGAGCGGGGAGGAGGAAGAGACGCCGCCGCCGCCGTCGCCGTCGGTGGAGAGCGGCCGCGCGCGCATCTCCGCGTCCGCGCGCGCCTGCGCGGCCGCGATCGCGCTCTCCGCGTGCGGCGCGTCGCCGCCGTCCCTCGCCCTCTGATGCTTGCCGTACTTTTCGCGGAGCTGATCCATCTGCGCGCGCTCCGTGTTCGTCAGCCCGACGGGCTCGGCGGACGGCATCGCGTCGGGGTGCCACTCCGCGGCGGGCGGCGGCGGAGGCGGCGCGGGGACGATCTCCTCGATGAGCGGCATCGCGTTCCCGCTCGGGGCGAGCGCCGCGTCGAGTGACGACGCCCTCATCGGTCAACGGATCGCGAGTGGCGGGACGAGTTCCACCGACCGAGCACTGCCACTTGTTGAGTTTCGCGAGTAGCGCCGCTGCCGCGCGCGCGGCGCACTTCGCGTCGCGGCGTTCGCGCGCGCGCCATGGCGGTCGAAGCCGACGCGGTAGCGCGCGCGCTCGAGCTCATCGACGACGACAGGCTCGTCGCGGGCGCGCGCGTCCTCCGCGCGGCGAACATCTCTCCCTCCGCCTCCGCGTCGTCGTCGTCGTCGTCGGACGCGAATCTGAAGCTCGCCGCGTCGCTTCGCAAGGCGTCGCGCGTCGTCGACGTCGTGCGCTCGCTCAAGGCCACCCCGGACGAGCGCAGCGGCTGGCTCGTCCAAGGCGAGCACATGGGCAAGAGGGACGTGTCGATATACTACCGCCTCGACCCGGAGACGAAGACGAAGCTCACCGCGCGCGTGGAGTCACCGATCGACGAGTCGCTCCTCGTGCCGATGATCAGGCGCGTTCGTATTTACACTGGTTCCCATACGACCGCGTCGGCGTGGTGAACGCCGTTCCTTAAGGACTTTTGCGAGCGTCTCTCTCCGCCCACCCCCCGCTTTCAATCCCCGCCCTCGACGCCTTTCAACTCCGCTTCTGACGCCTATGAACTCCACCCCGACGTCATCGCTTCGTACGGAACGACCCTCGTCAGCGTCCTGAACGAGAGCGAGCTGTACGCCACGTGGCTGCCGAACTGGACCGTCCCGCGGTTCAGGGTGCGACGAAGCGTGAAGCTGTCGCAGAGCGGGCGGTGCTCGCAGGTGGTGCTGGTGACGTGCGATCTCCCGTGGCCGTTCTCTCCGCGCGAGTGCGTCCTGGACGCGTGCGGCGTGGACGACATCGATCACTCGGGGGACATCGCGGTGCTCGTGAGGTCTTTGGACGGGCTCGACGACGACGACGACGACGAGCGCGAAGAGAACGATGACGATGACGCCGCGGCGAAGGCGTCGAAGAGGAAGACGAAGAAGAGGGCGGAGGGCGAGTTCGAGGCGCCGCCGCCGGATGACAAGTCCGTCGTGCGGATCGGATTTCACGGCGGGTTTTTGTTCCGCGCGCTGCCGCCCGGGTGGAAGACGTATAAGCGCGCGAAGAAGGATAAGAAGAAGGATACGAAGAGAGCGAGCGCGAGCGCGGGCGCGTCTTCCGGGGAGACCGACGAGGGCACGGACGGCGGCGGGTGGGGGTGGGGGATGGGGTCGTGGGGTCTCGGCGGCGGCGGCGACGCGAACGACGGCGGCGACGGCGACGACGACGTCGAGCCCAAGATCACCCCCGGGCACCTGGACGACCCGGACGCGGAAGCGCTGCTGCACGCCGCGGAGGAGGACGTCCTCTCGAACGCGCGCGTGCCCGCCGCCGCCGGGGACGCCGGGGACGGGGACGGGGACGGGGACGGGGACGGGGACGGGGACGCGGGCGGGAAAAAACAACTTCTCGTCTCGGTGCAGATGTTCATAGACCCCAAGCTGGAATACGTCCCGTCGTCGCTGATGAACTTCGTCGTGCGGACGGTCACGTACACGATGTGGTGCATGCTGTTGCGGGTCGCGGAGGGGATCAGGGACGGGAAGATGCCGGAGCATCAGACCGCGATCGAGTCGAAGGCGCGTCCCGGTCGCGCCTTTGGTCCCCCCGCGCGCCGCGCCGTTCCTCCGTGAGGCCTTTTCTTCCCGCGCGCGTCGCGTCGCGTCGCGTCTCTCTCCGCCCACCCCTCGCCGGTTTCGATCCCGCCGCGCGACACGCCGCGACGCCGACTGACGCGCCCCCGCGCTCCGCCCCGACGTACGTTACGTCGCTTCGTATGTATGGATAATCACCCTCAGCCGACGTTGTACTCTTGGGTCAGAGAACGCGCGGCGGCGATGCTGGGGGCGCTGTCGGGCGCCGCCGCGAGGGTCGGCGGCGCGGCGACGGCGTCCACCGCGTGAGCGAGCGACTGTTTTATCATTTTTGTCGCGGGTTATGATAACACGTACACGTAGTGTGTATAGTCTTCGGGGGTCGTCGTCGACGCCGCGCGAGGTCGGGACGCCGCGACGACTGGAATAATTTACGAAAGGACAATAAGTCTAACGCCGGTCGAACTTTCACCCAATCACGGCGCTCCGTTCGCTTTCAATCGAGCAGGATCGAAAGCGACGAAAGTTGAAAAAGCGTTCGCCACGTCGCAATTCCGAAACGTGGCGTGCGCTTTTGCCCCCTGTAACCCTTCGGCTCCGTCGCCTCCGTCGCATCATCGACGCGCGCGCCGCGGCGTCCACGATCCAAGGGCACCGCCCACCCCTCGTTCGATTTGATTCGATATCGTTTCCGATAATGGGCGACGAGCCGCGCGCGAAGCGCGCGAAGCCGTCCACCACGCCCGCCGGCGCCGCGATGGCGGCGACCGTGGCCACCATGGACGGCTCGCTCGGATTCGACGCCGTCGTCGTGTGCACGTCGAACGCGGCGCAGGAGGCGTACTGGCAAGAGCGACTCGAGCGCACGCGCGGGCAGGCGGCGAAGAAGGGCGCGGTCATCGTCGCCGTGCACGAGGACTGGGCCTCCGACGGCGCCGGGAACGGCCTCGGGACGCTCTACGCGTACGCCAAGGCGCGCGCGCAAGCGATGGCGCGCGTCGACGGCGCGGTCGACCTCGACGCGATGCTCGCCGAGGGAAAGACCGTGGGGATCTACCACACCGCGGGGAAGGGCACGCGCCTCGCGCCGCTGCCGGGCGCGGAGAACAACAACAAGCCGGGCGTGAAGCTCCCGAGCCTCGTGACCGTGGAGGGCGCGCGCGCGGACGACCCGCCGACGACGAGCGAGCTCACGATTCTCGAGGCTGTGATCCGACAGACGGGGTGCTACGCGCCGCGCCGCGCCGGGCGATGCAGCGTCTTCTGGGGCGACCAGATCTTCGTCCCGAGCGCGGGGCACCTTCCCTCGGGGGCGCACCACGCGGACATACTCGCGCGGATGGGGCCGATGCCGACGGAGGAGGAGTGGGCGGCGAAGGGATTGGAGAAGTACGGGCTCATCGCCGTCAACGCCGCCGACGAGGCGGCGCAAGTCGAGAAGGTTTCGTACGACACCGCGATGAAATTGCTCGGGTCGTTCGGCGAGGTGAAGCGCGTCGGGCCGTCGCTCGGGAGCTTCTCCCTCGGCGCGGAGATGCTGCGAATGCTCCTCGAGGAGTTCGCGACGGAGCTGGAGGAGAAGCGGGCGAAGATGGACTCGGACCCGCACCTGTGGATGCCGATGACGCTGGATAAGGCGCGTTCTATCTCACACTGGTCCCCATACGACCGCGTTGGCGATGTGGACGCCGTTCCTTAAGGACTTTTGCCGTCGTCTCTCTCCGCCCAGGGTCCCTCGCTTTGAATCCCCGCCCTCGACGCCTTTCAACTCCGCTTCTGACGCCTTTCAACTCCACCCCGACGTTCGCTCGTATAAAACGCCCCCAAGGCGGCGTACGTGAGCGTCATGGTCACGAAGAACGAGACGGAGGCGACCGCGGGGGCGCACCACGACCGCATGACCGCGTTCAAGTCGAAGCTGTTGAGCTCGCACCCGGAGAAGGCAGTCTTCGGCGCGATCGACGTCGGCACGGAGTGCTACTGGTGGGATTACGGCTTGCTGTCGTTGTACCAAAAAAATAACATGCTCGCGTTGGACGACACGGAGGAAGCGGCGTCGCTTCGCGCCTACCTGCGCATCCCCGAGGACCGCGCGCAGTCCAGCGAGCTCGGGAACGACGTTCAAGTCACGAACGGCAGCGTCGTCCTCGCGAGCGTCGTGAAGGAGGGCGAGATCGACCACACGATCGCCTCGAGGGTCGTCACCGGAAAGTGCGACGCGCACGGTGCGTCCCGTACACTGGTCCCCGTACGACCGCGTTCGCGTGGTGAACGCAGATCCTTAAGGACTTTTCCCGGCGTGTCTCTCCGCCCACCCCCCGCTTTCAATCCCCGCCCTCGACGCCTTTCAACTCCGCTTCTGACGCCTTTGAACTCCACCCCGACGTTCGCTCGCATGGAACGACCCTCAGGCTGCCTTCTCATCAACGTAACCGCCCGCTCGATCAAAGCGCGGAACTGCGTCATCTACAACGTCGTCGACGACAGCGAGGACGGGCTCGTCTTGCCGGACGGCGCCGTCCTCACGAACGTTTTCGTGCCGGGAAGAGAGAAGCTCGTGCAGAGCAGCAGCACGACGACGGACGGAGGGAAGGTGTTCAAGGTGAGGCTCACGCCCAATCCTTTTTCGTTCGAGGGCGTGTACAAGATGAATCAGAGCACGGACGTCAAGGAGGCGTACAAGCTCGGCGCGGAGGCGCACGCGGACTTGGCGAAAGAGCTCAAGTTTTAAGCGAGCGCGCCTCGCGTCGTGTTGGTCGGTCGGTCGGTTGGTTGGGGTGATGAATGCAGTGCGGGGGGGGGTGAGGGGGGGTCGCGTGTTTTTATTGCAAAAGCAATTTCTGTTGAGGCCGGGTGGTTTCTGCAGTGTTTTCGCGAGCTCGAAGTGCGCGCTCCGCATCACTCGACGAGACGCGTCCCCGTCCGTCGTCGTCGTCGCGACCTCGCCGCGCTTCCTAGCTAGGCTTCCGTCGCGCGCGTCGACGTCGATATGGCGTCCACGGCGCGCGTCGCGTCCTTCGCGTCGGCGCCGCCGACGACGACGACGACGACGACGCGACGCGTCGCGCCGACCGCCGTTACCCTACGCCCTCCTCGATCGCGACGCGTCGGACGACGCGTCGGACGCGTCGTCCCGCCGCGCGCGCTCCCCGGCGTCGAGTCGCCGTGGACGCCCTCGAGCGAAGACATGGACGGCGTCGTGAACGAGCTCACCGCGCGCGCGGCCGCGGCAGCCTTCTACGGCGACGGCGACGGCGACGCGCGCGTCTTCATCGGCCTCGTCGGGGCCCCGGGCTCGGGGAAGTCCACGCTCGCGCGCGAGATCGTCGCGCGCGTCAACGCCGCCGCGGGCGCGGACGTCGCCGTCGTCTTCCCCATGGACGGCTTTCACTACTACCTCTCGCAGCTCGCGGACGCGACGCTGTTCCCGGACGGCGAGGAGGCGGCGCGGTCGCGCCGCGGCGCGCCGTGGACGTTCGACGCGGACGCGTTCGTGCGCCGCGTCGCCGACGCGAAACGCTCGCGCGACGCCGTCGTGCGCGTCCCGGAGTTTGACCACGAGGTGCACGACCCGGAGGAGGACAAGATCGCCATTGCGCCGACGCACAAGATCGTCGTCGTGGAGGGCAACTACCTCACGCTGCCGGACGCGCCGTGGAGCGAGCTGCACTCGGGCGACGCGCCGCTGTTGGACGAGGTCTGGCATCTCGACTGCTCCGTGGACGACGCCATGGCGAGGGTGACGCGGCGGCACGTCGCCGTGGGGAGGAGCGCGGAGGAGGCGAGGAGGAAGGTGGACGGGAACGATCGCCCGAACGGCGAGCTCGTGTGCTCGCGCAAGGGAGTCGCGGACGTCCTCGTGCCGTCGTACGAGTGGGAAGGCAAGTGACGAGCCGAGCGAGGAAGAACGACGAGATTACCTTCGTACATTATAAAATTATCGATCCGACTACATCATCGCACGAGCGTTCGGATGTACAGCTGCGAGTTCCTCCCCTCCTGCGTCACCTTCCCCGGCGGCAGCAGCGGCGAGTCCTTCGCCACTCCCGCGTGCAAGAACCCGCGCTGCGTGAACCAGTCCGCGGTACGCGTAGTGAGCAAGAACATCTTCTCCACCCCCGCGTCGCGAGCTACCCTCTCGAGGTACTCCAATAGCTTGTCGCCGCGGCCTTCGTTTCGATACCCGGGCCGAACCGCGAACGATGCCACCTCCGCGATGACCTGCGCGCCGGTGCCGGTTGACGTTTCGTCTTCCCCCGCTTCCCCCGCTTCCCCCGCGCCGTCGCCGTCGCCGTCGTCCGCGGACCGCTCGACGACGTACCGACGCAGCGCCGCGCAGCCGATGATTTTCCCGTCCCGCTCCATCACGTGAAACGCGCCCGCGCTCACCTCGTCGACGAGCGCGTCGTCGCTCATCGCCACCGTCGTGCCGTCCTTCGCGAGCGGCTCCAGTATGCTCTTGATCTCGATCCAGTCCCCGGGCTTCGCGACGCGCGTTTCCTCGTACCGGTCGCGGCTGATCATCGCGCCGACGCCGTCGAAGGTGTACAGCTCGAGCAGGAGCGCGCCGCTGAGGGTCGAGGGTCCATACGAAGCGACGAACGTCGGGGTGGAGTTGAAAGGCGTCAGAAGCGGAGTTGAAAGGCGTCGAGGTCGGGCGTTGAAAGCGAGGGACCCTGGGCGGAGAGAGACGCCGGGCAAAGAAACTCCTTAAGGATCGGCGTTCACCACGCGAACGGGGTCGTATGGGGACCAGTGTGAGATAGAACGCGCCTGAGCGTGTACTCGAGGAGGTGCGCGCGGCGGACGCCGGCTTTGCACGAAAACACGGCGGCGCAGACTTCCTGCGGGCACCCTTCGACGCGCCATTGGAGCCCGCGTTCGGTGAGCCGCGTCCACGGGCGAGCGGACGAGGAGGAGAAGGAAGAGGAGGAGGAGGAGGAGGAGGAGGAGGACGACGACGCGTCCGGCGCCGCGAGCGATCTCGCGGGCTGCTTCAGCCACCGCCAACCGTCGAGCATCCACCCGTCGCCGTCGTCCATCTCCACCGCCTCGGACGTCTCGTCGCACCACGCCGCGCCCTCCTCGCCGCCGCCACCACCCCCGCCGCCAGCCCCCTCCTCCCCTTTCCTTCGCCGCGCCGCCTTCGCCGCCTCCACGCTCGCGAGCTTGGAGATGTACCCCTCCGCGAGCGTCAGCGGGAGATACTTCAGGGTCGATCCATACAAAGCGACGCCGGGGTGGAGTTCAAAGGCGTCAGTTGGAGTTGAAAGGCGCCGAGGCGTGTCGGGATTGAAAGCGAGGGACCCTGGGCGGAGAGATGCGCCGGGAAAAGTCCTCAAGGAATGGCGTTCACCACGCCAACGCGGTCGTATGGGGACCAGTGTAAGGAGAACGCGCCTTCATCTTCTCCCCGTCCTCGTTCCTCGGCATGTCCCCCTCCGCGACGTACGACACGAGCTTATCCGCGCCCAGGTCGATCGCGCACGACACCGCGACGTCGTAGCACTGACAGTTCAGAACCTCACCCGCGGCGTTGAACCCGAGCGAGGAGAGGAGGACGACGTCGCCTTGGTCGAGACGCACGCGCACGGCGTCCACGTCCACTGAGACGACGTCGCCGGTGTACAAAAAGTCGACGCCGTCGACGACGCCGCGTCGCTTCGCCTGGATGAAGTTCCCGGACACCGCGGTCGGCATCGCGCGCGCGAACATGCCCCCGGGCTGGAGTCGCGCGGCGGCGGCGACCCGCTCGAGGGGTGACCCGCTCGAGGCGGTCGCGTCGGCGGCGGCGTTCGAGTCGCCGCCGCCGCCGCCGCCGCCGCCGCCGCCGCCTCTCCCGTTCCAGCTGTTCGCGTCGCCGTGCCGCCGCGTCACCGCGACGTTCACGCCGCGCGATAACAGCGCCTGCACGAGCACGCAGTTCCTTCCCGCCGCCTCCATCGCGATCTCCAGGGTTTCCGGGTCCGTGACCCGGTACCCGTTCACGACGGCGCTGCTGACGCCTCGCGCCTTCGAGATGGCATCCACCTGCTCGTTGCTTCCGAGGACGAGGACGAGGCGGACGCCCAACGACTGCAGCAGCGCGACGTCGGTGACGATCCCCTCGAGGACGTCGCGCTGGCGCATGACGCCGCCCGGGATGACGATGACGAACGTCCCGCCGGAGTGGTTGACGATGTACGGCGCGGCGGTCCGGAAGAAGTCGACGAAGCGCTCGCCGCCAACCTGCGACACGCGCTTCTGCTGCGCCGCGCTGTCCTCCCAGGAGACCATCGCGGAGGGCGCGCGGCGGAAATGCGCGGAGGCGCGGCATTCGCGGCGGCGCGCGCGGTCGCGCGGTAGGGGGGCGTCCCTCCTCGGCGCGGCGGCCGCGCGCCTCCGCGCGAACGCGCCGGCGGCGCCGGGGCGATTCTCTCCAGAAGCGGCGCCGCGCATTCTCGTCGTCATCGCCGCCGCCGCGGACGTCGCGCGAAGCATCGTCGCCGCCGTCGCCGCCATCGCCGCGAACTGGTTCTTCACGCGGAGGTCAGGCGACGCCGCCGCGCGCGGTAGACGAACGGCGCTCGCCGGACTCGCGGCGCGTGCCCCGAGGCGCGCGCGTCGCGGACTCTGGACGGACGATTCTGTGGCTGGCTGGTGGCGCACTGCAGCTGCAGGCGGTTCACGTCGACGTGCGCGTGCTTGCATTTCACGCTAGTCATACAGTAGTCTACGTTCTCTCCGCCTCCTCCGCTATCGCGACCGCGTGCTGGTACCCCGCGACGACGCGCCTCGTCCTGACGTCGGGCCCTCCTCCATCGCCCCCGCGGCGGCGCGCCATCTCCACCAGCGTCGGCGCCGTCGCGTCGCGCCCGCCGACGCCGCCGAACCCTCCGAGCTGCCCGCTCGCGTCGTCGCCCCAGCCCAGCACCGCGCCGTCCGCGGTGGCGGCGAGCGTGAAGTACTCCCCCGCGGCGACGCTCGCGATCTTCGTCGAGCTCGTCGGCAGCGACGCGGGGTGCGTAAGTCGTCTCGGCGCGCCCGCCGCCGCGTCCGCGTCGGTCGAAGATCCGCGCGTTCCGCCGACGCCGCGGTCGCCGCCGCAGCCGAAAAAAAACGCGTCGCCGTCCTCCGTCGCCGCCGCCGCGTGGCACCGTCCGGCGGCGACGGAGACGACCTTCGCGCGCGTCAGCGCGCCGAGGACGCGCGCAGGTCTCAGCGCTTCGGACGCGTCGCGCGCGGGGCGACCGAGCTCGGCGAAGACCCACCCGCCCGCGGACGACGATGGGACCGCCGCCGCCGAACTCTTTCGAGAGACGCCGCGCGAGCTCGCGTCGTCGTCGTTCAACTCGAACCCCTCTCGCACGCCCGCGTACCCGTCGAACCCGGTCGCGCAGGTGTACACCTTCCCGGACGCGGTCGCGATCACGACGTGGAGATACCCCACGGCGACGTCGACCGCTTTGTCTCCGTCCTCCGCGTCCTGACCGAAGAGGTTTCGGCCGAGCGCGCGCGGGGTCGACGCCGACTTTGGATCCGCGAGGAGCGCCGCGGGCGTCGGCGCGGCGGCGGCGGCGCCGTCGCCGCCGCCGCCGCCGCACGCGTTCAGCCCCCACACGACGACGCCGCCGCTCTCGGTGACGACCGCGGTGGAGTACCGCCCCGCGGCCACCTTCACGACGTGGACGTCAGGGCCGGATCCGGACAGCGCGCCGCCGGCGACGACGCCGGCGACGCCGGAGCGGCACGCGCCGCCGCCGCGACAGCGATCTCCGGGTATCGCGTCCGCGCCCCCCGCGTCCTCGCACGCGCCCGCGCTGCCGCCGCTGTCCTCGACGCACCCCGCGCCGGGCGTCGCGACGCCGACGACGCCCTCGCGGCCGAGCTGCCCGCGGTCGTTGAGCCCGAAAGTGAACGCCCGCCCGTCGTCCGTCGCCGCGGCGGTGTGGTACCGACCGGCGGCGACGTCGACGAATCGAGGCGGCGACGCGACGCTGGTCCCCATACGACCGCGTTCGCGTGGTGAACGTCGATCCTTAAGGACTTTGCCCGGCGCGGCGGCGTCAGCGTCGCCGAGTTCGAACGCGCGCACCTTCGCGAAGACGTCCATCGGCCCGCCGCGGCCGAGCTGCCCGGCGTCGTCGATCGGCGGGGAGCCTCTCCCGCCGCCGCCGCGGCTGTCGTTCCGACCGCACGTGTACAGATCGCCCGCGGAGGTGACGAGCGCGGTGTGGCCGCTGGCGGCGGCGGCGACGACGGACGCCGACGCCGCGTCCTCGAACTCCGCGACCCCGGGCGGGGTCGCGGAAGGATCGGACGGGCGGCCGACCCTCGCGCCGCCGATGCCCCACGTGTACGCGACGAAGCGTCGCGCGGTCGACGCGTCGGCGGCGTCGTTCCGAACGTTCTTCGTCCGTCCCGGCGGCGGCGGCGTCTCGTCGCTTCTCTTCTCCGCGTCCGACGGCGGCGGCGCGCGCGCGTCGTTCACCTCCACCTCCACCTCCGCGCCGCCGCCGTCGAACGCGATCCCCCGCCACGCGTTGCCGTCCTCCCACGCGATGCCTTCGCTCGTGACCTTGCCCTTCAGCGCGGACGGCCCGCCCTTCGGGGAAAAGTCCACCTCGATCTCGGTCTCGTCGACGCGCGCGCGACGACGACGACGACGACGCGTCCTCCACGTCCCTCGCAGCGCCCACGCCGTCCGGGTCTCGCCGCGCGCGCATCCCGGGGTGCCGTCCGCGCCGGTGACGTTCAGGTCGCGCTTCGAGACGAGCGCGACGGCGCGCGGGCACCCCGGGTGGTTCGGGTCCGCGTACGCGCCCGCGGGAGATCTCGAGGCGTCGTCGTCCGACGAGGACGCGCGCGCGTCGTCGTCGTCGTCGTCGTCGTCGTCGTCGTCGTCGTCCTCGTCCGCCGCCGCCGCCGCCGCCGTCGTCGCCGCGAGCGCTTCTTCGCGCGCTTCGGAACGGCCGCCGCCGCCGCCGCCGCTCGCCGTCGCGTCGACGTCGCCGTCGCCGCCGTGCGCGCGCGCGCGGTTCCCTCGCGCGGAGGAGGGAGCCGAACGCGCGATGACGACGGGCGCGTCGACGTCGCGCTCGAGCGGCGACGCCGCCGACGACGCGCGCCCCGACGGCGTCCGCCCGGGGAGGTACAGCTCGCCAACCTTCCCGAGGCTGTGGACCCCGACCCCGCCGCCGGTCGTCGCGCGCGCGACGATCGCGACGAGCGCGACCGCGGCGACGAGCCACGGCAGCCGCGGCGTCGTGGGGCGCGGCGTCATGGGCGCACAGCTGTGACGAGCGGAACACTGACTCGGCGCGTCCGAGGCTCAGGTCGCTGCTGAGTGCAAATTTCAAATAATGCGCTCGCGTCGTCACAACGGGAGGCGCGCATGGAGGCGGTTCCTCGAGGCGCCGCGCCTCGGCGCGCGGTCCCGCTCGGGGGCCTGAGGCGATGCCGTCCGAGGAGCGCGGCGACCGGACGCGCGCGTCGCTCCCTCCTCGAGCGAAGACATCTTCTGCATCATCATCATCATCATCGTCATCGTCGTCGCGACCACGACGACGACGACGACGGCGCGCGCTCGACCGCCGCCGCCGCGTCCGCGGCGGGCGACGCGAGCGCGAGCGCGAGCGACGACGACCGCGACCGCGACCGCGACCGCGCCGCGCCGCGGTCCTCCTCGCCGCCGCCGTACGCGGACTGGTGGACGCGCGCGGACGCGGCCGCGGCGGAGATCGCGCGGAGAGAGGCGGAGACGGTCGCGTCGTTCGGCGCGCCCGCGTCCGCGGAGTCGCACTACCTCCTCCTCGACGACGACGACGCGTACGCGCTCGACGACGCCGCCTCAAACCCCGCCTCCTCCGCGGCCTCGCCGTGGCTCGAGATCCTCGAGCTCGCCGCGACGTTCGGCGCCGCGGGCGGCGGCGTCGCCGCCGTGCTCCTCCAGGAGGCTGCCGTCGCGGTGCTCGTCGCCGCGCTCCCGCTCGTCGCGTTCGGCGCGCGACGCGCGCGCGAAAAGATCTCGCGCCGCGCCGTCGCGACGCGGCTGAGCGAACTCCGAGACGAGCGCGACGCGCTTCGACGCAAGGCGCAGCGCGACGCGTCCCTGAACGCCGTCGTCGCGGACGCGGCGCAGCGCGCCGCGCGCGCGGTGGTCCCGCTCGTCGGCGACGTCGTCGAGCGCGCCGCCGTCGCGGACGGCGCTGCGACCGCCGCGGCGGTCCGCGACCTCGAGCGAGGCGTCAACGCGCAGACGATGGCGTCGAAGACCGCGGCGAGGGAGGCGGGCGAGGTGGCGGGGATGCTCGCGAGGGACGTCGCGGCGGCGCGGGTGGACGTCCGCGTGGGGTTGGACGCCATCGCGGAGGAGATTAAGACGGCGCGAGACGACGCGACGGCGGCGACGCGATCGGAGGTGCGGAGAGCGTGCGACGAGCTGCTCGAGCGCGTGCGCGACGCGCTGCTGGAGGAGGGTGACGATGACAGCGGCGAGGGGTCGCGCGCGGGGAGCTCGGAGACGAGAGAGACGCTCCGAGCGAGCGATCTGCGCGCGTTGAGAGACGCCGCGGAGGCGGCGAGGGCCGCCGCGGAGCTCGCGCGCGACGCGGCGGCGGAGTCGTCGAGCTCGATGGCGACGGCGTCGTCGGCCGCCTCCGCGCGGGCGGCGGCGCTCACGGACGCGCAGCTCGCGACGTTGCTGGACGAGATACGCGACGTCATGCGCGCGGTGAAAGGAGAAAGGCGAGAGGACGGCGACGGCGACGGCGACGATGGCGGCGACGACGACGACGTCGTCGCGCGAGTCCACCCGGAGCAGTGGTCGCTGCTCGGCGAGCGCCTGACGCGCCTGGAGCAGGTCGCCGCCGCGGCGATGTCCTCGACGGAGGTCGAGGCGGTGCGCGACGCGGACGCGGACGCGATCGGGAGGGAGGGGCGAGGCCGAGGGGCGAACGACGACGACGGCGGAGGGCGGGACGAAGAAGACGGCGACGACGACGCGGAAGCGCCGCCGGACGTCGACCCGAGGGCGCCGTCCGGCGCCGCCGCCGCGCCGCCGCCGCCGCCGCCGCCGCCGAAGCCCACCTCCTCCGCGCTGGGACTTCCGTTCGAGTTCACCCAGCGCGAGGCGATCTTGATGACGGGCGAGTCCCTGGACGCGCTCCCGCCGCCGCCGCCGAAGGCGCCCGGGGCGGCGGCGCCGTTGAACGCCGTCGAGGGCACGACGCGAGAGGCGGCGTTCGATAACATGCAGGCGTTGTTGGCGAAGAAAGAGAAGCTGCTGGAGAAGCGACGCGAGGCTGCGAAAGCCGCGGCGGTGGAAGTGGCGGAAGTCGAAGCGAAAGAAGAGGCGAAAGAAGAAGAGGCGGTGGCGGTGGTCGAGAAAGCGACGGCGGAGGAAGAGACGACTCGGTCGTCGTTGCTTCCTCCGTTGCCGCCGTCGTGGGCGTCGTCGTCGTCGTCCTCCTCCTCCTCGGACGATACGGACGCGTTGCGCTCAACGCTTGAGGACGGCCTCGCGTCCCTCCGCGCCGCGCGGTCCGCGGCGTCCGACGCCGGGGACGACCCGAACGCGATGATCGCCGCCGACGACGCGCTCGCCGCCGCCGTCGCGCTTCTTCGCGCCGCCGAGGACGCGCTCCTCGCGGCTTCGGCTTCGGCTTCGGCTTCGGACGCGACTCCGACCCCGACCCCGACCCAGACCCTTCGGTCGTCCGCGGCCGCGAGCGGCAACCTCGCGAACGCGCTCCTCCTCCGCGGCCGCCTCCAGCGCCGCCTCGCCGCGATGGCTGCGCGCGAGGAAGCCGCGAGCGTCGCGCGCGGCGTCAACGCCGGAGCGGCGGGCGCGGCGGCGTTCCACGCCGAGGTGCGTTCTATACACTGGTCCCCATACGACCGCGTCGGCGGGGTGAACGCCGTTCCTTAAGGACTTTTGCCGTCGTTTCTCTACGCCCACCCCTCGCTTTCAATCCCCGCCCTCGACGCCTTTCTACTTCAACTGACGCCTTTCAACTCCACCCCGACATTCGTCGCTTTGTATGGAACGACCCTGAGCTCGCCGAGGAGCTGCTCGTGCTCGCGGGGCGGAGCTTCCGCCGGGCGCTGACCGCCGCGAGCGCGATGGGTCCTGACCGCGGCGGCGACCGCGGCGTGACGCGGGCGCTGACGGGGTGGGGCGCCGCGTTGGCGTTGCGCGCGCGGATGGCGTCGGGTGCGTTCTATACACCGGTCCCCATACGACCCCGTTTGCGTGGTGAACGCCGATCCTTAAGGACTTTTCCCGGTGCATCTCTGCGCCCACCCTCGCTTTTAATCTCCGCCCGTGACGCCTTTGAACTCCAACTGATGACGCCTTTGAACTCCACCCCGACATCGCTTTGTATGGAACAACCCTCAGACGCCGCGGGGTTCGACGGAATCGGCGCGGGTTCGCCCGGGTTCGCCGCGGAGGCTGCGGCGTTGGCGGCGGCTGCGAGCGAGAAGTACCGCGCCGCGCTGCAGTCGCCGTTCGTCGTCGACGGTGGGATGTCGGCGACCGCGCGCGCGGCGGTGTTCATGGACTGGGGCGACGCGCTGCGGCTCGCGGCGGCGTCCGCGGAGGCGAGCGGCGGCGGCGGCGGCAGCGGCGGCGGCGGGTCCGAATCCGACGCGTCCTCCTCGTCCTCCTCGCTCGAGCCGGAGGAGTGTTGGGCGCGCGCGGCGCAGTGCTACGACGAGGCGAGCCGGTTGGACCCGGAAGGGTGCGGCGCGCTCGGCGTGAGGAACCGGAACGCGTGCGACGCCGCGCTCGGGACGCGACGCTACGGAGGTCATCGATAGAAGAGAGGAGAGCGAGCTGGGTCGTAGACTGCGTCGATAAAAATCATCTGAAAATCATCCGCCAGTGATGAAATGTCTCTCGTCACGCCACCGCACCGCACGAGAATGAATCAATCAGTCGTCGACGGCGATCGGGCGTTCAGATCGGATCGCGCGTCGGCACGATGGCGGCCGAGACCGCCGCGGAGGCGATGGAGCCGGACGAGGAAGCGATCGCGCTGTACGGCGACGGCCTCGCGAAGATGGCGGGCTCCTCGCACGGCGCGCGGACGATGCACGTGTACCCCGTGACCAACTACTCGTTCGGGCAAAAGGCTGGGCGAGCCGCGAAAGACGCGACGCCGTCCGCGACGGCGACGCGGCTCCGCGAGGCGTACGAGAGGGACGGCCCGCGACGCTCCGTCGACGCGGTGATGCTCGTGAACCAGCACAACACCCCGCACGTGCTCCTGCTGCAGAGCGCGGGGTCGGGCCCGGGCGCGCCCGCGACGTTCAGGCTGCCCGGGGGACGATTGCGACGCGGCGAGGGCGAGCTGGAGGGCCTGCAGAGGAAGCTTCACAGCAAGCTGTCGCCGTCGGATGCGTCGCTGGGGGGCGCGAAGGAGTGGGAGACGGGGGACTGCCTCGCGCGATGGCACCGCCCCGCGCACGACGCGCACTTCTACCCGTACCTCCCCACGCACGCGACGAGGCCGAAAGAGGCGCGCGCGGTGTACGCGGTGCAACTGCCGGAGAAGTGTAAGTTCGCCGTGCCGAAATCGCTCAAGCTCCTCGCGGTGCCTCTCTTCGAGCTGTACGGGAACGAGAAGCGATACGGCGCGGTTGTGTCTTCGATACCGTACTTGATATCGCGCTTCCACTTGAACCTCGAGAGTAAAGCGGAGGAGTGAGCGAGGGCGCGGAGGAGGAGGCGCGCGAGATAGCGGCGGAGGCGCGCGAAGGCGCCGGGTACGAAGGTAGATTTTAATAAAGGAAAAGAAATTCCCGAATCGATCGCGGCGACGATCCTTATTACACGACTCAGCTATCGTAAAGGTGGTATCGCGCTAGCTAGGGAGGGAGGGAGGGAGGTACTACTTCGGGCTCGTGATGTAGTCCGCGTCGACGCCTTCCTCGCCCGCGACGACGCTCGTCCCCGCCCCGTAGCCGTCGCCGTCGGGAAAGTGCAGCCGCGCCGCCAGCCGCCACCGCGCGTTCTTCTTGCTGTTGCTCTCGCCGACGCCGTGCTCCAGCACCCACGCGTCCTGATGTGTGTAGGGTTAGGTTAGGGTTCGGGTTAGAGTTAGGGTTAGGGTTAGGGTTAGGGTGTATGGACCGTCGAAACCACCGAAGAGAAGAGAAGAGGGCGACGCGCCTCGACCACCAGCACCTCCTCCGGGTCGCCCGCGACCAGGTTCCCTCTCTTGTCGTACGCCGCGAACGTCTCTCTCGTCTTAGGGTCGTTCCATACGAGCGAACGTCGGGGTGGAGTTGAAAGACGTCAGGTGGAGTTGAAAGGCGTCGAGGTGTGTCGGGATTGAAAGCGAGGCGTGGGCGGAGAGAGACGACGGCAAAAGTCCTTAAGGATCGGCGTTCACCACGCGAACGGGGTCGTATGGGGACCAGTGTATAGAACGCACCTTAAACTGCACCGTGAACTGCGCCCAACTCACCGCCGGGTCCCCGGCCGGCGAGCACAGCCGCGCCTGCAGCACCCGCGGCGTCTGCACGTGCTCCAGAAGCTTCCACTCGACGCGGTCCCACCCGCCCTGCGATCGCGCCTGATGAGGGTCGGGGGTCCGCGCGAAGCGACGAACGTCGGGGCGGAGTCGCGAGGCGTCAGATACGATGGAGTCGTGAGGCGTCGAGGCGCGTCGGGATCGAAACCGAGGGACCCTGGGCGGAGAGATGCGCGGGGCGAAGTCCAAGTCCTTAAGGAACGGCGTTCACCACGCGGACGCGGTCGTACGGGGACCGGTGTGAGATGACAGAACGCGCCTTGTCCTCGCGTTTGACGTGCGACGCCGCGCTGCCGGAGCACAGATGCCGGAGCTTGGCGTGGTCCCCGCGCGCGATGAGCTCGTTCACCTCCGCGTACACCTCCTTCGCGGTGTCGAGGAACCCCTCCTTCGTGAACGCCTGGCTTTTGCCGTTCGCGCCGGATTTGATCATCTTCGTGCACATCGAGAGCGCGTGCAGCTCGTGCATCGGACGCGTGACGACGCGCCACAGCCGCTTCCATCCTCGCCTCGTCGCGAGCGATCGCAGCGACGGCCACGCGCGGTTCGGGCGATACGGATCCACGAGCAGGTCCGGGGACACCATGTACATTCGCAGAGGCTTACCTTGCATCGCGGACATCGCGGACGGAGCGGTGACGCCCCTCTGCGTCTGCGGGACCGACGACGACTGCGACGCCGATCGCGACTGTTGGAGGAGCGTCGACGCGATGCGCGGCGCGGGGCCGGCGGGCCCCGCGGTCGCGGCGCGCTCGGCGGCGGTCGCGGCGAGAGGCGCGCGGTGCGCTCCCGCGCCGCGGGACAGCGCCGCGCGATGGGGAGAGGACGCCGCGATCGCGGCGCCGGCGAGGCGCCGGAGGTGCCGCGCGGCGGTCATGACGTCGGTCGCGGCGCTCGGACTGAGGCGTCGCGTCGACGCTCGTTCAGCGTCGGCCCCTGCGTGGCTGGGCTGGGCGACCTTGGGCTGCAGTGATCGCGATTCCAAAGTTCAAAGGTCAGTTTGAACGGCGCCGCGATCAAATGTTGAATCTGAGGGTGGGTGAAAAACGTTTCAGAGCACTCGCTCAGACCTCTCGCTCAGGCAAGTGTTCACGTCTCGGACGTTTTCTCGACCGAATCAGAACCACGACGACGACTCCCGCGGCGACGCCGTCGCCACACCGAACGACGTCTCCGCCCCGCGCGCGCGTCATCGCGTCGAACGCCCTCCTGAGACCCATCCCCTCGCCCGTCATGCTCGCTCGCGGAGGCGGCGGCGCTTCGACGCGCAAGAAAAAACACCGCGCGTCGTCTCGAGATTTCACGACGAGCGCGCGCGCCTCGGACGCGGAGACGTCGTCGTCGTCGTCGTCGTCCTCCTCCTCCTCCTCCTCCTCCTCCTCCTGCTCCATCTTCTCGCTCCGCGACGCGTGCTCGTCGACGGAGGGCGTGGGAAGCTGGAACGACCTCTCCGCCGCGGAGGCGACGCGCGACGACGACGACGACGACGACGACGACGACGCCGTCGCCGTCGCGCCCGCCGCCCCGCCGCGCGAATCTCAACAACATTCGCGCGCGAACGACGACGACGACGACGACGACGACGGCGGCGACCGCGCGACGACCGTCGCGTCCACGGCGACGTCGCACAAGTCCTCCGCGTCCTGGGACGTCGTGAGCGTCTCCGAGCTCTCCTCGCGCTCGGTCTCGCCGCCGACGGGGCTGGGGGACAGCTCCGCGGGGGACGTTCCCTCGTTCGCGTCGGTGCGGGGAAACGCCTCGCCAGTTCTCTTCTCGCGCGCTTTTTGAGATCTTAAAAAAAAAATCTGTTCGCTCCGTCGCGTCTCGTCTCATCCCCTCGCCTCCGCCGCCCTCCCCTCGCGCAGGCGACGTCGATCGAGGACGACGAACCGAGGGCGAGGGCGACCGCGATCGTGAAGCAGATCGTCACCCTCGCCGCGGAAGCGTTCGCATCCCAGAATGCCTGGAGCTCCGACGACGACGACGCGGAGGAGACCGAGTCCGAGACGGAAAACGACGAGAACGCCGCCGCCGCCGCCGCCGCCGCCGCCGCCGCCGCGTCCGCCGCCGCGTCCGCCGTCCCGACGCCGACGCCGCTCCCCGTGGACGCGCTCGCGGACTTCATCGCCCATGGAATTACGACGACGACGACGACGACGATCGAACGCGACGACGACGAAGCGGACGACGCCGACGAGGAGGAGGAGGAGGAGGAGGAGGAGGAGGAGGAGGAGGAGGAGGAAGAGGAGGACGGCGACGACGAAGCGTCCGCCGCCGCCGCCGCCGCCGCCGACGCGTGCGCGTACCACACCGTCGAGGTCGAGGACTCCTGGGTCGACGTCCGCCGCGGGCTCCTCCCCGACCACCCCGCGGCGTCGCCGCCTCCCGCGGGCGTGCTCCAGCGCGTGCAGAGCGCGCTGAGGCGCGTTCTGTCATCTCACACTGGTCCCCGTACGACCGCGTTCGCGTTGCGAACGCCGATCCTTAAGGACTTCGCCCGGCGCATCTCTCCGCCCAGGGTCCCTCGGCTTCAATCACCGACACGCCGCGACGCCTTTCGACTCCGACTGACGCGCCCCTGTGCTCCACCCCGACCCTCAGAGCCGCCGCGGACGCGTCGCTCGCGGCGGTCGAGACCGTCTGCGCTCCCGACGCGGACGGGCGACTTTTTCGCGCGATGTTCGAGTTGTTCACGAAAGTCGGCGCTAACGTCCGCAAGGCGTGCGTTTATACCGTTTCGTCCACGACGAAGCTGACGCGCACTCCCGCGTGGGACGCGGACGCGATGGACTACGCCGCGGGGATCGTCGCCGCGGGAATCGGCGTCGGATGCGGCGTCGTTTGCGTCGTCGGCGTCTTCGAGTTTGGGAAATTCTGCGGCGTTCGCACGAACGGCGACTGGATCGCCGCGCGGTACTCTTGAGCGCGACGAGGCGAGGCGAGGCGAGGCGAGGCGAGGCGAGACGCGATCGTCAGAGGGCAGGAGGGGATTGTATACAGTAGTACACGTCGTGTTGTACAGACGGACGGACGGACGGAACGAGCGTCGCGTCGCGTCGCGCGGCGCGAGATCGAGAAGCGAAAAAAAAAATCGTCCCAGAAGGCGTCGCGTCGCGTCGTTCTCTCTTCCTTCCATCTCCCCGCCCCCCCGCGCGCTTCCCGCAGACCGTCCATCCCCGCTCCGCGCCGCGCCGCCGCGTCCGTCCTCCTCCTCCTCGCCGTCGCCGCCCCGAGCCGCGACATGGTGTGCCTGCAGCGCGGCTTCGAGGACTACTTCGTCCCCTCGGACGAGCGCCTCGTCGCGGTCGTCGCGCTCGAGGCGCTTCCGACCTCCGCGCGTCTCCTCCTCGCGAGGACGACGTCGCTCGCGCGGCTCTTCGCCGCGCTGTTCGCGTACTACGTCGGCGTCATAGCCGCGATGCGCAACGCGGAGTTCGTGGGCAGCGCGGTGCGTCTCGCCGCGCGGGCTCCGACGCGTCGTCGTCGTCGTCGTCGTCGTCGTCGTCGTCGTCGTCGTCGTCGTCGTCGTCGTCGTCGTCGTCGTCGTCGCCCGCCCTCCCTCTCCAAACACACCGACCCGCCCCCGTCTTCGCTTCGCGCGCAGGTCGTCGCGCTGATACAAACGGCCGCGCTCGCGCGATGGAGCGTCGCGCCGGAGTCGCGCACGGTGGCGCACGCGGCGCACGCGCGCTCCGCGATGACGCTGTTCCTGTGCCTCGCCGTCGCGAAAGCGTACGCGTCGCTCTACGTCGCCAACGAGCGGTGCTTCGACGACGACGACGACGACGACGGCGGGCGACGGCCATCGCGGTGCGGGACGATGCGGTGGGTGAACGTCGGCGTCGTGGGCGCGCACGGGTACCTCACATACGTCGCGATGCTCGTGTATCAGAGGCTGACGCATCACTACGCGCACGCCGCGGCGGCGGCGGCGGCGGCGGCGGCGGAGGGGGGAAAGCGCGCGCCTCTCGAGACGGCGATTGGCGCGGACGCGGAGACGGCGACGGGCGACGCGCCGTCGCCGATCGACACGCACGTCATCGCGGACGACGACGACGACGCGAAGGGGTGGTGGTCGCGCGCGATGAGGATGAGGTGGAGCGCGCGCGGCGGGTGAGCGGCGTGGGGGGGGGACTACGCGCGTGAATAAACGTAATACTCGTCCCAAATCGCGAGGGTTCTGTTACTCTTATTATGGTCGCGTCATCGTATTACCTCTCCTCCACCCCTTCCCCTTCCCCGCCTTCCGCGGGAATGTCCACCGCGAACAGCCCACCGTCGCTCACCGCCGCCCGCGAGTCGTCCCCGCCCGCCCACGTCTCGTAGTCCGTCTTAAGCTGCGACAGGAACCGAGGCACGACCTGATTCACAACCGCGCCGACGACGAAATTTCCCGTGCGCTCCGTCGCCTTCACCGTGAACGGGAACCATCGCGGAACGAGCAGGTAGACGCTCACCGCCGTCTCGCTCACGATCTCGCACCGCCCCGTCCCCGGGTTACACCGATCGCTCCACCCGACGCGATTCACGGAGTCGATCTCGAACATGTCGTCGATCGTCCTCACGAGCCCGCCGCCGAGTATCTGCGGGGTGGAGTTGAAAGGCGTCAGTTGGAGTTGAAAGGCGTCGCGGTCGGGCGTTGAAAGCGAGGGACCCTGGGGGTAGAGAAACGCCGGGCAAAGTCCTTAAGGATCGGCGTTCACCACGCCGACGCGGTCGTATGGGAACCAGTGTGATAACAGAACGCGCCTGAGCGTCCACGACGCGAATGACGCACCCGCCCGCGTCGGGCTTCACGTCCACGCGCGCGGTCAACACCGGCGTGAGCTAGGGCCATTCCATACAAAGCGATGTCGGGGTGGAGTTCAAAGGCGTCAGTTGGAGTTGAAAGGTGTCGAGGGCGGGGTTTGAAAGCGAGGGGCGGGCGGAGAGAAGCGCCGGGAAAAGTCCTTAAGGATCGGCGTTCACCACGCCGACGCGGTCGTATGGGAACCAGTGTATAGAACGCACCTCGAACCCGAGGAAGTCCAGCGTCCCGAGCGTGCACTTGAAGACGTCGTCGCCGATGCGCTCCACCTTCTCGCCGTCCAGCGTGCTGTACTGCGACGCGGGCAGGGACATGTACTGTCGAAGCGACCGCGCGCCCGGGGCCTCGACGATCTCGACCGATCCGCTCTTCTTCGCCGCGAACGTGGCGTGGCGTCCGTCGCGCTTCAAGAAGGTGGCCACCTTGGCCGGGATCTCGTCCTCCGCGTCCGGGAGCGCGTCGAACTTGTCGTCGTCATCGTCCCCCTCCTCGTCCTCCTCCGCGAGCGTCGCGGACGCCGCGGAGACGGACGTCGACGTCTCCGTCGCGCGCGTCGGGGCGACGACGATCGATCGCGCCCACGAACCGCGATGAGAAGATGGGATCGCGCCCCGTCGGGGATCACTCCGTCGCGCGCGCGCGACCGACGCGCGGCGCGAGCTCCTCGCCGTCGCCGTCGTCGCCGTCGTCGCCGTCGTCGTCGTCGTCGTCGTCATCGCCGCGGCGCGCATCGTGCCGTCCCCGCGCGTCCGTCCGTGTGGCGACGACGCGCGCGCGCGTCGCGTCGCCTTCGGTCGGTCTCGTCGACTGGATTCGGCACCGGCGCCGACTGGCAGAGTCCGATTCCCCGGTCGATTGACCCGGGACGCACACAGCCGCGAACTCACAGATCAAAGATATTTTCGAGCGGAGATTACGTTTTGAGATGTTTCGCTGGCAGCGCGACTCGCGTACGCCGTACTTTCGTAGTTGTACGGGCAAACAGTCACGACGGGCGTACGCCGGTCGGTCACCGGTGGAAAAGCGGATAGAAAAGATACGAGAAGGTAAATCGCGCCGCGGCGCGCACTTCCCGCGACGCGCGCGACCCGCGCGACGCCCTCCCCCCGCGCGCTTCCGCACGCGTTTTGGGTCGACGTCGGGAAGGGGTCTCTGGCGGGTCCGTTTTGGCGTGAAACGCGTCGCGCGAGGGCGTATCGCGCGTCGCACGGCTCGCGCACGCGCATCGGGGGTATCTCTCTCGGCCGAACGCAACGGCGGAGGGGCGAGATTGATTTGACGAAGCCGCGCGCGGGACCGCCGGCCGGAGTCGAGCGACGAGCGCCATGCAGCACAGCGCGAGCGCGAAGGATCTCATCCAGGCCTCGCGGCCTGGGTTCCCGCAAGGGCTCAAGGTGCGAATCGCGGGTTTTTCCCCGCGCGCGCGCGCGTCCCCGCGCGCGATGCCGCGCGAGGGGTACCGTCCTCGCTCGCGAAAAGGGAACCTCCTCGCTTCCCTCTTTTTTTTATCGTTCGAGAAACGATGCGTCCTCCGCGCCGGACCGACGCGCTCTCTCCCCTCTCCTTCTCAGGTTCTCGTCGTCATGAAGGACAACGGATCGCACGCCGCCGCGAAGAAGATGCTCTCGGAGATCGGATACCTCGGTGCGTCTCGTGCCATCTCGCCGCGCGCGCCGCCGCGTCGCGTCGCGGCATTTTTTTACCCCGGATAAGTTTGAAGCGCCCGCGTCGCGCTTCGCCTCGTTTGGGTAGGGTTGGATCGACGGACGCGCGACGCGCGCGGCGAGATGGTA